GTGTGTCCTCCCCCCATCCCGAAAAAAATTTCTGGTTATGTGCCTGTTGTGAAATCAGAAATATTGGTGAGCTGAAACGTCATGATGGCGTCCCATGGTGACAGCAATGATGACGTGTTTTGCCGCACTGTCACGGTACTTATGGTGCTCATACATATGAAGAATGTCACTTTGTACTGGCCTTTGTGATTTTTTTTTTTCGTCATTCGTGTCGACACCTCCATCTCGTCAAGTCTTGATATCAAGTCTCGGAACAAGGTTGTCTGCTCCTTTTCGGGCAGTGTGTTCCAATAGCAGAATGATGGTTCGGAAGTCAAGTGTTCCATTGAGAGAGTCGGAGTGGATTAAAAGTAAGAGTGACTCCGAAGAGCAGCAAAAGTTGCTCCGCCGAAATCGACGGGACAAACCGGAACTCGGCATGACGCGTGCACTTTTTAGCACAGTAATGGCAGACTACATGGCATGCAGACTGGACAAATAATGTCTCCCCTCTTTGCAAACAGTGCGACGTCACTGCGAGCACCCCGCCCACCAGCCCCGCCGCGGTGCTCTAGTGGCTAAGGTACTCAGCTGCTGACCCGCAAATCGTGGGTTCGAATCCCGGCTGCGGCGGCTGCATTTCCGATGGAGGCGGAAATGTTGTAGGCCCGTGTGCTCAGATTTGGGTGCACGTTAAAGAACCCCAGGTGGTCGAAATCTACGGAGCCCTCCACTACGGCGTCTCTCATAATCATATGGTGGTTTTGGGACGTTAAACCCTACATATCAATCAATCATCACCCCACCCTCCATCCCCACAAAACACCTACAAAACGTCTTCAAACAGGTACAAACGGCTATGGACGTCTTGGTCTTTGAGAAGAACTGAAGTAAATGTTTTTGAAAATATATCCGTTTGACGCCTGTAATACCATGTCCTCAGACTTTCGACTTGCATTGAAGCGACTTTGTAATAGAGCCAATCATGGTAAACAAGTTCGCAACGTTTACTTCAAGACGTTATTTATACGTTTTGTCCAAACGCGCGTGCGGTAAAGTTCTTTCGACAGAAGCGATCGTTCCTCTCGAAACATCCATCGATGTTTTTTTTTTTCTGATAATGCTAAAATTCAAAACAACACATCAAAAGAGCGACTGCTGTCGGGTTTTAAAAAAATGCAATAAAAATTCATTTCTCATCGCACCGCGGCAGTCAGCATGCATTTTGTTTTCAACCGATGACTCAGGCCAGCAATACCTTTGACGTTTTACATATGACATTGCTTATATCGCTTCAAGAAATTGATTCTTAAATGTCCCATTGGCCGCGCAAGTTGACCGTCATTGTCGAGAACATCGACGTTACATTTTTATTATGTGCGTGTTCTCTGGCGTTTCATTTTCGAAGCATATAAAACGTGGCCGCATTCACGCACTTTAACCCCGTAAACTATTCTGTTAAAGTTGTTTGGTAAAGACCTAAACGGGAGCAGGAAACTTCTTAGTCTTCTTTTTTTTTAATTCGGTGTAACTCAAAATGAAGATGTGAGCCTCGTATCAAAGCTCTTCTTTATATTTCAATAATAAACACCACAATCAACCGTACGTTGAGCACTGCCTCAGCCTTGATATCAAAACATATCTTTCCGCTTTTTTTCAACAAGCACAAGGTAATCATTAACATAAAGATACACTCGGCATATAGGTACGCATGCAAACGCTCGCAGAAATGCGATTGTCAATAACAGATAAAAATATGTCACAAACAAGTGGGGCCGATGACGAACCTATACATATGCAGTGCGTTGGATTAATATATATATATATATATATATATATATATATATATATATATATATATATATATATATATATATATATATATATATATATATATATATATATATATATATATACACAGTTGATCGATATTTCTACTATATATGAGGAACTGTTCCGAAGAACAGGAGCCTCATTTTCAGAATAATAATACAGGCATGAACTCTGACAATTTTATTAGTTTTATAATTCCGTCACAACTCGACTACGATCAACTACGATGGACGTCTGTTCGTTTGTTCAGCAACGAGTTCACATTTTTCAGATTGATGCTTGATTAGCTATGCTACGGCTGCGCGCATGCGCCTTAGGTGTTTTGTCTTTTTCGTGGTTTTGCCGAAATAAAACCACTTAATATTTAGCGCTTGCCCTGTCTGCGCTGTCTTCTCAGGCAGTTCTTTCTTTGTGTTTCCTGTTTGCGCTACAAAATATGACTTCTGTTGAATGCGCTGCCATATGAATCCTGATTGGCGGGGGTGCTATTACCGACGATCGTCTCACAGATTAGCTGCTGAGTGACAGGTAGCAGTGTGCTCGCACGGATTAGGGTTAGCGTGGTGGCACTAACATAGCCGCCGAGCTGCTCGCGGTGGAAAGGCTAGGCCGGCCGAGGCTCTTGAGGGTTGGCTTGGTGAATCTACAGATGATTCTTCGGGGGATCCTGTGGGGAGTACACCGCGAGCCGGTCCCCATGCATCCCTCGTGGTGAGTAGAATGTCGGCGATGCCGCATTCCTGGTACCTTGTCCGTGTTATGTAGTGTGTGTGTTGTATTGCATATTGTATAAGGTGGTTTAACGCTTCATTAGTGATGTATTAAATTCGGCTGGCGATATCGTCATGTAAAAGCAGGTTAACAAATGTACTCGCGTTGGGTTGACCCATGGCCTGACTGTGTTCGTGCGTTTCGAGGGTAGCTCGTCTTGAGACACCATGTAATATACAATCATCTTACCCCAAAGTGTTTTGTGCTGGGGTCCACTACAGCTCCGCTAACGTACTTACGTTCAAAAATGTATATGAAGAGATTGCAACGAAAAAAAAAAACAGAAGACAAAAAACATGTCGCGCAGCATCTAATCAGCAATTTTGTGATTCTCAGCTTGCGGCGCTCACCACGACGCCATGGAGAGTTGTCTGGGATGCTAACGGCAAGTCATTTATATACACCATACACCGTTTGGCAGTGCTCAGAGCTTCGAAACTCCAGCGCGTTTTCGTTATCAGTGGCGATATGGCCCCGCGGGCTCACGTTCCGCGGAGCGCGTGGTCTCTCCTGCGTGCACGCTTATGAGATTCGTAATTCGGGAGAGAACGAAGGTCACTCGCACGCTGCCGCGGCCGCGTTTACGAAAGGAGCGCGCTGCTGACACGCGGCGCAGCAGTTGTTTGCACTTGTCCTGTGTATGCTTGTGCGCTCGTATCGTGCGTCTTTCTTTCTGTTTGAATAGTGGGCTTCCAAGTGTTGAGCTGTGACAGTTGTTAGTCCGCGCTCGTCCTGTGTATGTAATTTCATGCGTGCCTTTTGCTTGAGGTGTGTGCTGAGCTGCTTGCCGTTGTTAACGTGACTTTGCAATTTGTTGCTGTTGCTGAAACAATGCACAATAAATGATCAACTACATCTCTAAAGACCCGTTTCACTTTAGTGTTATACCGATTATTATATAGGGAGATGTTTATTGATATTCGGCGCATGGGTAGGCTATACATCATTCAGAAACGAAACATCCAGCAGCAAATGCGATATTCTCGGAATCCTCTCCTGGGAGGTAGTGTACTCTCCACAGACTTGTGTGCACGAGCACTGGAACAGAAGCATAGACATTGAGTTAGTACGATGTCTTACAATGATACAGTATCTTAAAAAGAAACGCCGCAGCGGTCGAGAGTAGATCATGTTCGAGAGCTGCCGAGTACATGTAGATGGAAAATGGACAGATCTCTTAGGGCGCGAAACAGCTGAATCGAACGTTACGAACTTCTAGCTATACGTGTGGAACCAACGCACATATTTGCTGCTGTAAACTATAAGCAAATATTTTGCAACACCTGATTGCAACTATGCGTACTATCTTCCACTTGCTGAACAATGTATTGTAACTTAACAAAGGCAAGAGATCTGAAAAAATGTACGGACATAAAAGGTAGTGCTTCTCATTTTTCGGTATATAGATAAAGCTTTCACTAGAAGCAGCTGCCTTTGTTTTTGCACTCTTCTTTCGGGATTGCTCACAGTCTGGCCATGTAGCAGTCACCACAGCTAGTGATGTGCGTGCGTTTCGCAAATTGATCGCTGCAAAAATTTCTCGAATACGTCCAGAACAAGCGGGGGTTCATGTATCACCCCTTAGTGACAAAACACACGTTTCGTGGATAGCAGGCACTCCTATGAACATCTCAGCCAAATCTTGCAGTCGTGCACGTCAAGGAGAGCTTGCAAGTGGAGCGTGAAGTGTTCTCTGGCGCTCCCTTTTGTGCACGGCGCCTGCTGTTTGACGTCCAACAGCAGGTAGAAATCGAGAGTGTGCGACGAAAAATCCCTGTAACGCCGCTTTAAATAGTTCTTGACGTATTCGAGAAATGTTTTGCTGCAATCGACTCGCGAGACAATAAGCTTTGATAGTGAGCTCATTTGATGGCTCATGACCCCCATTAAAGGGCCCCTAAACATCCCACAAACAAACAAAAAAGCCCTATTATCTTTTGGCGACCCGCCACGGTGGTCTAGTGACTAAGGCACTCGGCTGGTCACCCGCAGGTTCCGGGATCGAATCCTGGCTGCGGCAGTCGCATTTTAGATGGAGGCGAAAATGATTGAGTTCCCCGTGCTTAGATTTAGGTGCACGTTAAAGAACTCCAGGTGGTCGAAATTCCCGAAGCCCTCCAATGCGGCGTCTCATAATCATAAGGTAGTTTTGGGACGTCAAACCCCAACAATTGTTATTATAATTTTCTCTTGACGTTTCCCGTCATTGTGGTACAATTGGAGACTTCAGCAGATTAGTCACGTGACGTCAGGATCAAAGATGTTCTCGAGTGGTTGATATACGGGAGATATCTGTCGTTAATTGGGACCGGCGTACCACGCTTTGCCATGCAGTCGCATACATATTGTACGCCAGAGTGTCAGCGCCGTTATGCCGAGCGAAACAAAGACCTTGGTGGAGGGAGGGGGACACTTACATATATCACTCGCGTCGAGCAGTAGTTCCAGCTCTTGACAAATGCCCGAGCAGATGGATTCTGGCACCAGGCGGATGTAACTGAGGCCTTTGACTTGAGCGAACCACACCAGGGTGCTGCCAGCTTCGAAATCAAGCTGCGTACATGAAGTTTCACATTTTGAACAAAAGGAAAATCAGACTCTTTTTTTATATTTCTGCTGTGCCTAACATTTGTGTTCAAATAAATGCAAGGAATCTTTTTGTTCTGGCAATGTACAATTCTCTGTACAATGATATATAGAGCAAGTGAGGCATCTGTTTGAGGCAAGATTAGAAGTTCCCGCCATTACCTCCACAAAAATGGATGCACTCAATAGCTGCACCAATGAGTCCAGACGGTCGTCATGAGCTGGATGGAAGCCGCCTGCGGAGAAGGAGTGCACGAGTGGGACTATTTCTTCAGTTGCTCCGGTCGTCTGGGCGTACCATGTCTTCTCCTGACTTATTCACATATACATACTCTATGCGAAAGTGTACCTGCACCTGCTAAAGTTGCCCAGAAGTGCCCAATGAACAAAATGCTTGTCAATATACTTTTAAATCATCAACTTGGGGGCAGTTGTTTGTTTTTGAAACCCACGCAGGTGTGCCCTGCGGCACAACAAATATAGCATAAAGATAGCACAATCACAGCGACAGGGACATCCGCTCATTGAGCAGAATTTCATGTGAACTATCACAGCGGAAGCTGTTATGAGATCACAACTCGGGTCACGCACGGGGCCGTAGTTATCCGCCGCCGCCGGTGTCCGAAACCAATATTGCGAAAGAAAAAAAAATCTAGTACCAAGGACACAGTGGGGCTTTAACCCGGGACCGCTGCGTGCCAGCCCAGTATTCTACCGCTGAGCCACGCTGGTGCTTGGGATTTTTATTTATTTATTTTTTTATGGATAACTAATTACTTAACTGACCGTCACCAATACGTACAGCATGGCATCCACACTTCTGACCTAGCTCCGGTGTTGTCAGACGTTCCGCAGGGGTCTGTACTAGCTCCTGTTTTGTTGCATAACTAACTCTTTGCAGACTCTTCGCCGACGACTGTATGCTCTACAATGAAATACGTCATCACGATGATCAGGTGAAATTAAGTAATTCACTAAACAAAATAGCTCAGTGGTGCGCTGATTGGCAAATGATTATAAACAATGACAAAACTGTACTTATGTCCATTACCAACAAGGTGTCTAAGTTTGATTTTCAATACCATTTTAATAATGTGCCACTACGAAGAGTTAACCAGTACAAATACCTTGGTATCACAATTTCGTCTGATCTTAGTTGGACAGAGCACGTGCGTCAAGTGTCCAAAAAAGCGATGAGCAAATTATTTTTATTAAACGGGCCCTGTCATTCGCAACACATAATACGAGGCTTCTTGCTTACGTCACATTTGTCCGCCTGGTCTTAGAATATGCTAACATTGTGTTGTTCCCTCACACTGTGAATATTATCGCTATACTGGAAAGGGTTCAGCGGAAAGCAGTGCGCTTTATCTTCAACAGATACGGGCGCTACGACTCACCTACTGCTTTATTACACCGAGCTGGTCTAGCCCCCCTTGACGGTCATGCAAAGGTTTCCCGGCTTAACTTTCTTTATCTACTTTTACACAGATCATTTCGCATAAACCCAAATCTCTACTTGAACTTTCCAGACACCAGACCGACGAGGCGAAGACATGCATGGGAACTCGAAGAATACTCATTTAATAATAATACTTTTTCTTATTCGTTCTTCCCGCGCGTAATTCGAGAATGGAACTCACTAAACCCAGTAATTACACAGCAGCCAACATTAGAGAAATTTATGAAACTAATCGAAAGTACTGATCTTTTCTAACCTAGTGAGCATGTACAGTGATCACCTGTTTTTTCTTCACGCAGTCCTTCCTGCTTCCAATTGTCATACCAAAGCACTTGTCTGCATATATTTATTGTTTAATACGGTTCCTAGATAATAGTACCCGATCTGTGTTTTCTTCTTTCTTTGCCTCGTTTCTTCCCGACTCCTGTTTTTTTGTCGGTGTACCATCGGTGTACTTTGTACTCGGTTATGATTCAAATGACTATGTATGATTGTTCTATGCCGTACTGCTGTGTTCAGTGATTATGTGTTCTTTATTATTCTGATTTTTCTTGTTTCAAACGTCACAAGTTGTGACAGTGATGCTCATCCCTGTAATAATCTCCATGGGGGATCGACAGTATTTTGTAAATAAAAATAAATAAAATCCAAAATTAAGGGGATTTAGCATTGCCACATCGCGCGGCGGCGCCCGCTCTCATCTCCCACGCGTACTTTCATTGGTAATTTGCCCCGCGGAGATGAGGGGGCGATGCTTTTTCGCGCGCCCTTATCTTGCGGTGGGGAGGATCGTATGTCTTGGCTGGCCTCGGGCTTTACCTGGAACGATTCTGTTGCAGTTACCGGGCGCGCAAAGGTCACTGCAGTCATTGCACAGCCTCCGTTTGCGAAAAGGGCGCGCTTTTCAGACACAGCGAAGTAACAACTGAAACGCTTATTCGCGTGCTCCTGTACCTCTGAGTACGTTTCGTGCGTCATGTGTGCATGAGAAACGCGGGGCACGTTTCGATCTGCTTGCCATTCTGCGCGTGACCTTCCAATTTGTTGCTATCGCGTTCCTTGCTTCGCCTTTGCGGCAGAGCTGTGACTTACTGATTTACTCGCCAACTATCGACTATCGCATCATCACTTCGCAGAAATGTTTCAAGAAGTAATGTTTCTAATAGATGACTTTACCGTAGGTATATGTACGCGTTTGGGTTTCTAGTTTTAGAAAAAGAAAACTTGAGATCTTCGTTGTAGTTCACCTGGGATTGAGACTCCCCTGCTAGCCAAACCTAAAGTAGTAGGCTGTAACAACGAATCATATAGCTGAAAATATGCACCGATAGTGAGTAGAGCGATTTTCCCAATATTTGAGCTGCATGCCTATTTACGGTGGACCGTGACGATGACATGACACACCGCAAGCCGAGGCCCCAAGGTGCTTCCCCTGAAATGTTGGGATGGGAGCGCTGGCACGTGCGGTCGTCTTCGCTCGTCCCTGCTGCACAAATGCTTGCAGAATGCTCGCCGGTTAGGCTTGTTTTAAAGGGAACAGAAAAGTTTTCTTACTCATTACTTATTCATAAAACCGAAACAGCACTGCAACAAGATGCTGGGTCAGTAAGAAAGCACACAAAAAGGCTATACGGGCCACGCCACGTTGAAGCTCCCGCACTAGCCCACCATGACTTCACAGCTTTTAACAGGGTCTGCTGGGGTTGACCTAATAAACACATCATTTTCTGAGGTAGTAACATTGCGAATTTTAGGCCACTCGACTGAATCATCTACGACCGTACGCGAGCGCACCAGGGGGGCACAATGTCCGCCTTTGCTAAGCCGGACCTGTACTACCATCATGCCTTAAATACTGGTGTTACGGCCAGGCAGGATTTCAACAATAATGGCAACTGAATGCTCCCTGTTGCATTCCTAGAGCTGTTCAACCCCCTCAACTTTTCTTCTAGAAGGCCAGTGACAAAAGGCAGGTCATTGTGAGAAGTTCGCGATCGTGTAATTTTTTTTTCATCCATTGTAAAGCATGTTGTCCTTTGGACTCGACCAGGCAGGGGGGGGGGGCACTGCAGTAAAACCTTGCCCTCCCCATCTTCGTTTAGTAAGTCTATGCATATGACGGCAAAATTAACGACAATGGAGCTTTGTGTGCCTTGTGGCGGTAACGCACCTCCTTGAATCGGCGCCCGCTGAATCCCCGCGACGCGATGACCCAGTTGGGCCTCGTCATTTCAAAGGCGAGCGGAAGGAACGAGGGCTTCCGGTAGAACTGGCGCAGGTGCTTCTGGCCCGAGCGGTCGCAGTTCTCCCTGCACGTGGTCACATTCGAAAACATGTCCAGGCTGCTTGCAGGAAGCTGCATGCTAGAGTGAGTAATCCACTCTTCTTTCTTCACATTTACATTACTTCTAATATCGTCCCCTATACTTTCCCTGACATTATTATCTTTTAGTTCTCATTAATATTGAATCTAACACGCAATCTTTAGGCCAGTGGCGTAAATACATGAAGATCACGAAGGAGGACGCACTTCTTGCCATGACTTTAATATTGCTGTTATGTGGACTTGCCCCGAGCAAGAGCAGTTTTGCCCCTAATAATAAAAATGTCGTCCGTGGCCTCTCCTACACCCCATAAGAGACGTATACAATAACCAGGGGCGTACTGGGGTCTGACTGTCGTAATAAATGTCATTTCGTTCCCCTGCACAAGATACTTGAATGCATTCTATGTCACAAATTTATTTCACGCGTCTTATGTAAAGCCAGGCGTGCCACTCACCAGTGGGCAGACCATCCGCTAGAGGACGAGAAGCTGCGCAGAAAGGAGTCGAAGCCCAGGCGACTGTTGCTGCGGAAGTTGCACACGGCGGCCACCTTCAGATCGGGGTCTTCCAGGTACGCCTGCAACAGCCGTCAACTCACCTCCTGACATCCTTAGCAGACAGCAAAACACATAGGAGAAAAACAAACACGTATGCGTGGTTTTGAATACCAGAAAGACATATGTGCATCATCATCATCAGCCTGACTACGTCCACTGCAGGACAAAGGCCTCTCCCATGTTCCGCCAGTTAACCCGGTCCTGTGCTTGCTGCTGCCAATTTATACCCGCAAACTTCTTAATCTCATCTGCCCACCTAACCTTCTGTCTCCCCCTAACCCGCTTCCCTTCTCTGGGAATCCAGTCAGTTACCCTTAATGACCAGCGGTTATCCTGTCTACGCGCTACATGCCCTGCCCATGTCCATTTCTTCTTCTTGATTTCAGCTATGATATCCTTAACCCCCGTTTGTTCCCTAATCCACTCTGCTCTCTTCTTGTCTCTTAAGGTTACACCTACCATTTTTCTTTCCATTGCTCGCTGCGTCGTCCTCAATTTAAGCTGAACCCTCTTTGTAAGTCTCCAGGTTTCTGCTCCGTAGCTAAGTACCGGCAAGATACAGCTGTTATATACCTTCCTCTTGAGGGATAGTGGCAAACTACCTGTCATAATTTGAGAGTGCTTGCCAAATGTGCTCCACCCCATTCTTATTCTTCTAGTTACTTCAGTTTCGTGGTTCGGCTCTGCGGTTATTACCTGCCCTAAGTAGACATAGTCTTTTACAACTTTAAGTGCACTATTACCTATCTCGAAGCGCTGCTCCTTGCCGAGGTTGTTGTACATTACTTTCGTTTTCTGCAGATTAATTTTAAGACCCACCTTTCTGCTCTCCTTGTCTAGCTCCGTAATCATGAGTTGCAATTCGTCCCCCGAGTTACTCAGCAATGCAATGTCATCGGCGAAGCGCAGGTTACTAAGGTATTCTCCATTGACTCTTATCCCTAACTGTTCCCATTCTAGGCTTCTGAAAACCTCCTGTAAGCACGCGGTAAATAGCATTGGGGAAATTGTGTCCCCCTGCCTTACACCCTTCTTGATTGGTATTCTGTTGCTTTCTTTATGAAGCACTATGGTAGCAGTTGATCCCCTGTAGATTTCTTCCAGAATGTTTATATATACTTCATCTACGCCCTGATTCCGCAGTGTTTGCATGACGGCTGATATTTCTACTGAATCAAACGCTTTCTCGTAATCTATGAAGGCTATGTATAGGGGTTGGTTATACTCTGAGCATTTCTCTATTACCTGATTGATAGTATGAATGTGGTCAATTGTTGAGTAGCCTGTTCGAAATCCTGCTTGTTCCTTTGGTTGATTGAATTCTAATGTTTTCTTTACTCTGTTAGCAATTACCTTTGTAAATAGCTTGTATACTACAGAGAGCAAGCTGATCGGCCTGTAATTGTTCAAGTCCTTGTCATCTCCTTTCTTATGTATTAAGATGATGTTAGCGTTCTTCCAAGACTCTGGTACTCTTCCCGTCAGGAGACACCTCGTAAACAGGGTGGCTAGTTTTTCTAACACAATCTGTCCTCCATCTTTCAGCAGATCTGATGTTACCTGATCCTCACCAGCAGCTTTGCCCCTTTGCATGCTCTCCAAAGCTTTCCTGACTTCTTCTATCATTACTGGTGGGGTGTAATCTGGGTTACTGCTAGTTCTTATAGTATTAAGGCCGTGGTTGTCACGGCTACTGTACAGATCTCTGTAAAACTCCTCTGCTATTTTAACTATCCTATCCATATTGGTAGTTATTTTGCCTTCTTTGTCCCTTAGTGCATACATCCAACTTTTGCCTATCCCAAGTTTCCTCTTCAATGCTTTGACACTTCCTCCGTTTTTCAGAGCGTGTTCAATTCTCTCCATGTTATACCTTCTTACATCGCATACCTTACGTCTATTAATCAACTTCGAAAGCTCTGCCAGTTCTATTTTGTCTGTTGTACTTGACACTTTCATGATTTGACGCTTCTTAATTAGGTTCTTCGTTTCCTGGGAAAGCTTGCCAGTGTCCTGTCTAACTACCCTGCCTCCAACTTCCACTGCACACTCCGTAATGATACTCGTTAGATTATCATTCATTGTATCTACGCTAAGGTTGGTTTCCTCACTAAGAGCTGAGTACCTGTTCTGCAGCGACACTCTGAATTCCTGTACTTTCCCTCTCAGTGCTAGCTGATTGATTGGCTTCTTGCGTATCAGTTTCTGTCGTTCCTTCTTCAAGTCTAGGCGAATTCGAGACCGTACTATTCTATGGTCACTGCATCGTACCTTGCCAATCACTTCCACATCCTGCACGATTCCAGGTTGTGTACTCATTATAAAGTCTATTTCGTTCTTATTTTCGCCATTAGGGCTCCTCCATGTCCACTTGCGGTTTTCTCGTTTTCGGTAGAAGGTATTCCAAATCCGTAAATTATTGCGTTCTGCGAATTCTACTAGTAGCTCTCCTCTGGCGTTTCTAGTGCCGATGCCATACTCTCCTACTGCCTGGTCTCCAGCCTGCTTCTTCCCTACCTTTGCATTAAAGTCGCCCATCACTATAGTATACTGTGTTTTTACCTTACTCATTGCCGATTCCACGTCTTCATAGAAGCTTTCAACTGAAGCGTCATCATGGCTGGATGTAGGCGCGTAAGCCTGTACTACCTTCATCTTGTATCTTTTATTCAGTTTAATTACGATACCTACCACCCTTTCATTAATGCTATAGTATTCCTCTATGTTGCCAGCTATGTTTCTGTGAATTAGGAACCCCACTCCCAGTTCTCTTCTGTCTGCCAAGCCCCTGTAGCAAAGGACGTGCCCATTCTGTAGCACCGTATAGGCCTCATCTGTCCTCCTAACCTCACTGAGCCCTATTATATCCCATTTAACACCCTCTAGCTCCTCGAATAGTACAGCTAGACTTCCATCACTAGATAAGGTTCTAGCATTAAACGTTGCCAAGTTCAGGTTCCAATGGCGGCCTGTCCGGATCCAGAGATTCTTAGCACCCTCTGCTGCGTTGCAGATCTGACCGCCGCCATGGTCAGTTGCTTCGCAGCTGCTGGGGACTGAGGGCCGTGAGTTATTTGACGTAAGCATGTGGGAGGTAGTGGCCAGATACTGCACCAGGGTGGCCAATCCTTCTCTGGTGAGGGAGTGCGTTCTCGGCGGTGTTTGCCGGTGAGGCCGCACCCCAGGCCTCTTAATGCAGTTCCATCAACACGCGGATTTTTTTTTTAATCCGGTTGGGAACTGCGCGGTACCGGGATTTGAACCACGGACCTCTTGCATGCGAGGCGGATGCTCTAACCACTACGCCATCGCCGCAACACCTTGTGCTGTTCTTTGATGTTATCTTGATGTGCATCAAGATAACATCAAAGAACCGCAACGCGCTTGTGCTGTTTCTCTCTTCATTTGTCCATGTGCTCTCGCGTAGTTTCTTTGATAACGTACATATTTACTCAGTTCTACCTTTCACGTCATTTACTTAATGCGCAGGGTTGTGGTTACGCGTGTTCCTTTACGGTAATGGCGACAGGTGACACCTGATGCTACATTCAAATAACTGTTTGCTTTCACCAGTGTACCGCGAAACATTGTTTCCTAAAATTAGCTAGAAGGGACTCTGGTGCTGCGACCGGTCAGCGACCATGTGAATGATGTGTAGTACATAGATTGTCCTAGTCTTCGTGTTTGCGGGCGGTGAATCGCACTTGAGGCTTCGTTCCTTGCTGTGTTTCGGTTTCGTTTCGAAGGAAAGAATGAGCCGTTTTGAACTTAGTCACCCAATTTAAAATGGTAAGCCTAAAATAATAAGGTGGTGAAATGCAACCGCTGAACATTTACTGATTGTTGATTCAGGACAAAGCGGCTTCAAGCCACGTGACGCCAAAAGGAACTTAAGTAGACCAGGTAAATACGTGTTTGAGCGAGCTAGAAGTAACACACTTTATCTGTGTAATACCCATAATTCCCATTCTCGCTGAAGCGACATGCGCTGCAGCTCCCGTAGACACTACCGCCAGAGTTCCCAATATAGTGTATATCTAGGAAACTCTATGCCCGGAAACACGGCTGGGCTACAATGCACCGGTCTTCTTACGGTCTTCTGACCCGTTGTGAAATAAATGCAGAGTTTTTGAGTATGTTTCGCCACCGGTCACCGGTAGGGGCGCCGCGACCCTGACATTTAATCTCCTGCGTCGTGCACACGGCACAAGAGCGTTGCTCGACGAGAAACCGCGGAATGGAGGTTCTCGACGGGGATTATTCAATAAATGTGGTGTGTGAGGAGGATTGTCTCCTTTTAAGAAAACTGGTGTTATCAGACGGCTCACCGCATAATGTAGATTTCATGTGCTCGTGAATAATAGAGGAAACTCAGTAAAAACGCGGAAGAATCGGCTAAGAAAGCATAATGTCGGAGGCATAAACTACTGTCAACAATTGGAGTGAGGGAGATAAATGACGCTGCACCTGTTCTGCAAAAAGAGAGCACCGAATACCTTTGGCTCTTGGTCTCGTAGGACAAAGAGGCCGCAATTGAGAGCAGTAGCTTATTGAAACTACGAGCACGCCTTCCCTTTGCTAGCTATTTTCTCGTTCTTTACTTCTACAAATACATTTGGAGCGGTTTTAGGGCTAAAAGATGTGGTCTGCAGTTTGACAGCCCTTTGAAACACGTACGTGAGTTGTATCTCTAATTGTTAAAAATAACGGCCTATAGTAGAAAGAATGTAAAAGAAAAGAAAGAACTCTTGCTACCGCCAGTAGCAAGAGTTCATTCTTGAATAACCCCATCGGATGGCACGCTCTGAGAGTGGTGGTGTGCATTGTCAAGGTGCTGTCAAGAACACAATAATTTTGAAGACTCCAAGCTCTTTCGCATCCCTGTGTATACTGCAAGTCGCATCCATGAAAAATATGCAAAGAACTCAGCTGGTTACGCTCGCAAGCCGCTTGCCCTGGATCTGAAACTCTCTAGTGCAGATCAGTTCAGCACTATTCTTCGAGTTCTTTCTGCCCCAAC